CCTGATATAGCTAGGACCTGAAATCTCTCACTCTCCCACACATACACAGAGTCAGAGCTCCCACCAGGTTTCCCCTCCTTCTTTTCCTCCTCTTCTTGGTCAAGCTGGCCAATTCAACACATTCTTCAGTTCCCTAGCATTAATAACTACAAAGTACTACAGCCTGCTAGATATCAACTGCAGCCCCCCCCACCAGGCAGTGATAGGGACCTCACACAGATACAGCATTGCAGAATAATTTTTACCTTACAGCATGCTTCAGAAAGAAGTAGCATGTTATTCACAAAGATAAATACTCATATGCATCCAGGATCCAGCCACTTGGCTCTGGATGTACACACATGCTGTGTATTTCATGTCCTCCCTGCAGAAAGTCTTGCAATGCAAACACATGGAAATGTTTTATGCTAAACACACATGAAGTAAAGACTTTAGGATTAAAGCCTGGTACAGAAGGAGAAGTAGTCTGGGTAAGTCTGCATCCATCTTTCCACCAGGAAAGGCCAATGGCTTACAGTAGGTATAGATAAAAAACCCCTCTTGGTTCAGCTGTCCAGAAGTCACCAAGCAGTCAGTAAGATCTCAACATCACAAATCAAGCCAGGAAAGGCAATTTAACTCCTCTCCAATGAAATGGGCTTGCTGAACTGTATCTTCAGGCCTCATTCCTCAGCTCACCACCAACATACCTTCCTTGTTTCCCCAACAGTACCATCGCCATCTCAGGCTCATGCAAGGCAAGGCATAAACTGAACAAGAAAATTTTGGGAAACTGAAAAATTGTATTGTTAACACGCACCATTAACCACTACACTACACACATCGACAAAGACATCATCATTTTGTAAAAATAATTTACCTGGCAATAACTTGCATTTATATTAATTCTTTAAGTAATAAAATGCCTTAATTATGTCCTTATGAACCTTCTCCTTTCAAACCTTTAATTTTACACTGGATCATGTACATTCTGTATTATGCATCTTCAGTTATCCACTTGCTATACAGAAAATTGACTAGTTATTTTTGTTTGCTTTTTTGTCTTTTTTTGATCTGTAATAAAACTTTATCATCCTACACACACCTGTCCATCTTAACAGCACTTGCTGAAAGCTTGTCAAGAACTTTTTTGGAAGTTTTAATATGAACAAGTTACACTGAGTGCTATTTTTCTCAGTTCAAAGAACTCTAATAGATATGACATAATAGATTATTCATTTTCTTATGGCTATTTGAGATCAGATACCTCCCTATTAACCTACTCAGACATTGCCTTACCAAGTTAATGCTGGACCCTCAAAAGGCACATGTACCATAGAGATCTCTGTTGCTTGCTCCCAGACACATTGCATAGTCAATGAGAATGGCAAGGATTGGAAAGGGACAGAGGTGAACTCCCAACCAGAATGACAACACCATTCCAAGCACGGCTGCTGAGGCTACATTCCTGGGAGCTCCAGAGACTTATACTACTGTATGGATACCAGAAACATTTCTCACAAAAATGGGAATGAAAAACTAGCTTCCCAACTGCTTTGGAAGGAGGTATGTATTCAGAGCACCCCAACCTTCAAGACAAAACTTGGCACAGCACAAGGAACCAATGCACAAAGACATTCAATTCTCACGTAGAAGTTCTTGCCCTTCAGGGGAAAAAAACCACAAACCAAAAATCCCCACAAAAATACAGTCCACAGTAACACCAGTATTTTCAAAAGTCACTCTTTCATATACCCCCTCCAAATCAATAGTCCTAATCTTATCATGAAACATAATTAAATCCATATATCAAGTCCTTTTCATACCAGCCAGGTACTTTCCAACAAGGTAGACTAACTCCAAGTTTCTGGAATGGCTTTAAACAATTGTACTATTTTTATTATTATGTAAGTAATGTTCTAATCTTCAAGCCAATTTATTTTAGAATGCTTTTCAAAAAATACTATCATATTTCAAGTGGTTTAAACAGAGAAGTGAAAGGGGGAAAATAATAATTCAGAGTTTCCTGTCTACAAATGTATAAGAAAGTAGTTTAATTAAATTACCCTGATACAAGCCCTTTCTCTACTCTCCTCTAAGTTTTCAATCCCTTAATTCTCCTGTCCTAAAGCCATCAAAACCCTTGAGTTTCATCACTCCCATCTCAAGCTTTTCCCCCTTTCATCTCATACCAACAGTCTTTGACTTCCCGGCTCTCTCCAGGTGCTTACTAAATCCTCTCCCTCATATTTCTGTGTCTCATCTGCTACTGCCTTCCCTCTCCTGGTTCAGGCCAAATCCTGGTCTGCACAAATCTAAAACCATGCAGTACTCCCAGGCAGCTTCAACAGTACCTATTCTTTTGCAAATCACTTTCCAAACTGCCAGCCTACTCTGCAATTCCCCCACTTCTATTTATTCAATGCCCCTGCCTCAAATCCACATCCATGCCTAGCAGTCCAAAGTCAGATATCCTGGTTCCAGGTCCTTCAACAATAACCCCAAGCCTTGCTGCCCTACTATTATGTTTTTATTTTATCAATATACCTCTTACTGCCCTTGTTGTCATGGCAGCCCTGTCTTCACACTAAACCCCTGGGTCCTTCTTGCAAGACTGACTTTAAAATCCAGGCTGGATCAAAAAAATAGTCAGAATGATTCTTTAATGACTGAAAGAAGAGTAGAATATGTCCATATAAAAAAAAAAAAAAAAAAGGCAGTAACTGCATGCTTTAGTTATGATACATTGGGCTTTGCAGCTACATCTGAACCTTCCAAAACATCACTGTTTCAAGTGTGCTTAAAATAATGGTCTCATCTCAGAAATTGCTATGTGCCATAAATTCAGTACTGAAGAAACAGATTGCCTTAAAAACTGTTCTCAACTAAATCCAAATTTTCATACTAAGCACGATTCAGATTCAGATTTCATCTCTCCAAAGGCATTATTTGAAAGACATGGCCAGAAAAATCACCATAGAGAGCAGATGTCTAGAACTAAATGGGCATAGGCTCAGGAAGGAAACTCATTGTCAGATAGAACTCCAGCTCTAAACTTCTCACTGACTCGTGAATTCCTTTCTACATGGACCTTTTTCATGATGACAAAGACATAACCCAACACATGTTTCTATATTTCACTACTGAAACAAAGCCTGTGCAAACACTGCATAGTTGAATACAAAATACATCAGAGTCAGAAAATCGGCAGTGTCTGCTAGGAGCTGAGGTGTCTTTTGTTTGCTTGTTGCAAAGCAAATTAGCACCATATTTTTCCTACTATGCAATTCCAACGTCTTCTGTTGGAAAGCATCTTGGAAGAACCCAGAAGCAAAAGCAATGCAGACACAGCCAATACATTTGCAGGCTACCCATGCACTTCACAGCCACTTTCACTCTTGAGTATAGCTACATAGCATGACTGCTGGCTAAACAGGCTTCAGCTGCCACCAGACTATGCTTCTTTGCCACCCAACACAGCCGTGCTCAGGAAACTGCACTGCCCTTCCCATGCAGATCTTTCTGAATTCCTCTCTTAATTCTCCCTTCCATACTTTCTAATTTATCTAGGCCTAACTAGCCATGGTAGGAATACAGGAGTTTAAAAATCATTTAATAGCTCCACAAATTGGCTGCAAGAAGACACATTGGGTTCTCTAGACCTAGCAAACCACAGCAGTTGCAGCAGAATGGGTGATGAATGATTTTAGGGAAAAAGTCTATGAACTTATTTTTCAAAGTTCTTTTCTGGAAAGACTGAAATGAAATATAAAATAGAAATGAAAAATTTCAATTTTTTTCCCAAGTATTTGTTGAGATACTAACTTTTACCCAAGGAGGCAATTTCCATCATATATTTAGCTTTCAAAAATTAGCATTTCCTAAATGAAAATGTTTCATTTCTGAGAACCAGACTGACAGCTCTGAGTATTACTAGACAAGCAAACAAGAACAAATTGTCTAAATAGGATCTGGCCTTATGCAAGACCAGGCCTCAGCATCACTAGTATAGCCAGTGCTTACATTCTCTCCCAAATCCATCAACAAGAAGGGACTTTATTTTTTGACATATCCTTTAAAAATTGAAGACCTATCTGCAAAGAAAAATCTATTCAGTTTCCTAAAGTTATAAATGTACCTCACATTTTGAAATAAATATATTGCCAGATATTTAAAATCCAAACCTATAAAAATAGAATTGAGAGAAGCAAATATCAGCAGCTGTTGCAACTATTAAGCATGTCTCAGAAAATACAGCAAAACATAACCATTAAAACAGTAATTCCAAAATACAAGAATCAGACTAAGACATGCAAATTGTTTGTCTCCAGCAAGTAAAGAGAAAAAAATTACTGTCCAAGGCAAAGTGCCTATGCTAGAAAATCTGCAGTTGGCAGCTTAATTAACTGAAAAGTGCTCAACTTGAACACCTTTGATGAGTTCAACTATAGTATACTATAAAGTTAAAAAAAAATTGTATGTAGCCATTTAGGACATAATTCAACAAGAAATATGAAACTAAGTGGAATTCTACCAGAACTCAATGTATATTTCATGTGTATCACCATATTTGACAAAAGGATTATCATTCCCCATGCTAGTAAGTACTTCATTGTGTCTTCACAGTGTTATTGGAATATAAAATTTACATCAGAACCCATTCTTCAGTCTTTCATTGCCAGCACTGTGATGACACACTGGAGGAATGAGGAAGCAAATTGCATGGAAGCACAAATCTGAGGAGACTTGGGTTTATTGTTCAGTAAGACAAAGCATGGATTCCATTTTTTATAACATACTTTCTAATCCTCTACCTTTTCTCCTATAAAACGACTTCAAGATATTCTTGTCATCTCACAAAAAATCAAAATTTTGGTGACTGTAAATACTTCGAAACAACAGTACAGATGAATTTTCATGAGATTTACTGCTTGCAGCATCTCTCAGCCCAGCCCAGTGCTCACACAGATGCCTGTAACAAACTTCTCCCTTGCACAGGGATTATTTCAGTGCTTACATACCTGCTGTGTAAGGAGACTGACATGGCTTGGTGGGGAATACTGGCAGGCTGTTTGCTTTTCTGCCAACTGCTGCAGTTCTGCTGCTACCACACTGGGGCCATGACGTTTGCCCTGGGAAGAAGCATGTTCTGCATCTTTGTGCATCCTGGCTGAGCCCACACACTGCCCACTTGAACTGCGATGGAGACCTACCAAACAAACATTTCAAAGTGCTTAATGAGTGATATGTCAGACACTCAGCCTGCTGACCACAGACACACAAAAGCAGGTAGGATACCAAGAATAAAACAGAATACAGCTACTCTGAATGGATATTGCCCGTGTGAACAATCAGCAACTCCAAGCCCACATTCTCTTTATTACAATGTATCTAATGGCACCCAATTCCAGAGACACTGGCAGCTGTTACCCAAGTTAAATCTGGAAAGTTTTTCCTTAAAAACAAGTGGATCTCTTTAAGTAAGCTACTCAGTTGGGAAGTAAGATGTATTTTAATGCTAGAGGGGTTGTCAATATATATACAACAAACCTAGTAAACATGTGCTGACCCTGACACACAATCTAGAACAAAAAAAACCATGAAAATACAAAAAAAATTAGTAATATCAGGATCACAGCTGTTAGCCTGTGTGTGGTTCCCAAAAGTTTCCACATAGATTACAGTCTGCACGCAAATTCCTGCAGTTTCTCCTGCCCTTTGGATTCTTTACACTCTAAAGCTGCATTGCTTAACTGTGTTCTACCGCAGCATGATAGATGAGACATCTCTAAATCTTGGTTTTTGGATATGGCAGTGCTGAAACACCCTAGAGAATGAGATATTGTAATAATTCATTTAGATCCTTCTTTTCTGGAGGTCTTGACACACCTTTAAGTATTCAACACTTATGTGGTTTCATTACAAGACTTCTATGCTTGATAGGCAACCAGAGAACTAAGAACAGCACACAGACTGAGACAGGACTTCTGCTAATGAAAACAACATTAAACCCACTAAAGACAGATGAGATCAGTAACATAAAGAAAATACACAATACTCAGTTTCACAGCTCTTTTTGAATGAGTTCAAAGGCTGAGTTCAAAGCAGGAGGCCAGGGGAAACCTTATCACTATAACTACTAGAACAGAGGTTTTGTGAGGCAGGAGTCAGCCTCCTCTCCCAAAATAAACAGGACAAGAGGAAACAGCCTCAAGTTGCACCAGGAAAGGTTTAGATTGAATATTAGGAAAAACTTCTCCACCAAAAGGGTTGTCAAGCACTAGAACAGGCTGCTAGGAAATGGCTGAGTCACCATCCATGAAGATATTTAAAAGACATGTAAATGCAGCTCTTAGAAACCTGGTTAATGCTGGGCTTGGTAGTGTTAATTGCTGAACTTGGTAATCTGAAAGGTCTTTTTCAACACAAGTGATTCTATGATTGCCTGTTCATTTGGTCAGTAAAAGGGCATTTGCCTACCAAGGGCTGCATCCTGCACTCCTGCTTTCTGTGAGAAATTTAGCACCATCCAACAAGACTCAATTCTGGAAATGCAAAATTTCTATCTACTCCACAATAGAAATGACACAATCTCTGTACTGAACCAGCAGGCTGTTATGAATCCCAGAACACTCACCTACTTTTGCAGAGGACAATCTTTGGCTGTAGATCTGAGCAGCTCTCTGAAAAGATGAGAATGGGCTAACGGTGTAGGTACCAGAACGACGATGTAACCCTGCAAGGCTACAGGTCTCAGTGGACACTGGGTTTGTGAGGACAGAAGAACTGTCAGGAGCTGTGCTCTGCAAGGAGGGTAGTGGGGGTGGGGACTGAATCAGTCTGGGACCAGCTGGAGGAGCTGGCAATGAAGGGTGACCAGCCACATTTGAACTTTCAGAGGCTGCAGGCTGAGGTGGCATCCCAGAACTGGTGCTTCTCTGGAACGTGGCACCAGGAACAGAGGAAGAAGCACCAGGAGGGCTGCACCGAGGTAATTTCGCTTCGGCATTTAAGCAGAGGGAGAGTCCTTCTGGAACTATACAAAGATAACGAAGATGCTGTATGAGAAAAAAATCTGCTTTTTAAGTAATTTGATAATATCAACACACCAAATTCCTGTATTCAGATACAGTGAAGCCAAAATGACCTCATCTACCAGCAGAGACAAGAAGCAGCTTCACATGATAAATATTCTGTTTCAAAGCCTGCCGTATCTAGATCATCCCACTCAGGGAGGGGCAGCTAACTCTCCCATTGCTACTCTACAGCATCTTCTCTTGTGTTTAAAATTAAAATTAGGCATTTGGATCTCTCAGTTTGAACCCAAAGGTTCCATTAAAAACAGCATATGCAATCAGTTTGGGTTTTTTAATGCTAATTTAAGTCAGTTCACTTACAGCTTGGTTTAGCTTCTTTGGGTTTGCAGGCTTTTAGTGCTCCTTCTGCAGACAGATCTGCAACTGAACTTTTGGGATGATCACCTTTTATTTTTTTCACCATCTCTGGATGCTCTATAACAAAATCAAGGAGTTAGGAAGTAGAATATTGCAAATCACTAGAACAAAGCTGCAGAATTTACCCTTGTTGCAGTTGACTTTATTGATAATACTTCCTGTAGACCACACAACTTCATCGATTACAATCATGCTGTCATGTAAAGTAGCATGAACTACTAGATGCATATGGCTGGCACACCCTTCCATGGAATGCCTAATTAGGCTCAAATATACAGTCTCTGCCCTCCAATGGATACACTTGCTGCAGGCAGCAAAATCTAGGACCTTGATTTTTTTCATCCTCTCCTTTGATTTCAAGGTTCTCTGTTCAATTCAATTCTTACTGCCTTCAGTTTGCACATTCTCATTTCAGTCATTGACTACCATATCTAGCTCCTTATAAATGCCACTCTAAGTTCAACCCATTTCACTTCAGGCAAAGAAAACAGGAGTGAAGTTACTCTAGTCTTCACATAAGACTGAGTTAATAAAGAAAAAAAAGAAAAAGATATGCAACCTCAAAAAACCTGAGCAACATTGTGGAGAGGTTATTCTTTTTCTAGAGACCTAAGGTAAACTAGATTTGTGTGGGCAACATCATTTCGGAACTGTCTGCAAAACTTACCACCTTGGGGCTGTTTCTCTGACTGGTGACCGCTGTTTCTGTGTTTTGTGTTTGTGGATTTTGTTCCTAGGAAGACACTTGCTGATTTGTTTTTGTGTGTGTAAAATGTCAGTACTTCCTCCAGGTCACTTTCACTGCAATAGGGAGAGAAGAATGGATGTAGAGTGAGGACACTAAGCTTTTCTGCATTCATGTAACAATCAAAGATAATAAACATTAAGGAAACTGAAGAGTGGACTGGAGAAAAAAAAAAAGTGATACTAGAAAAGCTAACGATTTTCTAAGTTCTACTGGGTAAGAGCGGAAGAAAGGCAACATTTCCTGGTTAAACCTGAGATTCCCACTAAAATACCATCTTCTTATGCAGTAGAAAATACAAAACATTCAGGAGCCTTCCCAGGATAACTAAAGAGCAAGTGAATACTCCAAACACATGGGGGAGATTAGCTCAACATAAGAGATTCCATTCACAGCTAAATTTGTGAATCTTCTGCAGGTGCTCTTCAGAATGAGCAACTATTTTCTCATGAGAGAACTCAGGTCAATCTCTGTTTTATAGTCACCATTTGTAGTTTTTATTCAGCAGCAGGGGTAAGAAGAATAAAGAAGGCCAAAGCTTGTTAATTAGCCAAAACTGCAGGACAACCAGAACAGTCAATATTTTTGTTAAACTCACAAAACTTGTATTTTTCTCATTTTCTTTACAAGAACAAAGTGGGATAGCCCCAATATTCTAAACATCTATTAGTCCCAAACCAGTATCAGTTACTTGGCCATTCTTATTAGAGCTTGTGCAAGCTGTCGTTCCAGTTGTTTGCTATCTAACATGCTTTCCTTTTGCTTTATAGTGTGGCCTCAGCACCAGTGAGTGGCTGTATGGCATGGCAAACACCAAAGCAAGTAGTACAGTGGCAGCAAAACTACAAGAAAATGTAACACAGGAATATAAATTAGTAGTGCAGCAGTTAGAATATTTCAAAATATCCTCTGAATATCACAATTGTAACTAGTATTAGCTAGCTGAAGCTCTGAAAAAAGTCATGTCTAAAGATGATACACTGAAATTTGCAGCATGCCCTGAAGATCCAGACTTCATTTTTTCTCCCAGAATAGAAGTGAAGAGAAATATAAGAATGAGAAGTTGTTGGTAGAAAGGGGCTTTAAGCTTTTAAATTAATTTACCAGTATGTATGTGCTTTTACAATGCACTGAGGACATTTAGAATCAGTGGTCATAGCATATGTGCAACTAAACACAATTATGTCCATGTGATATCAAAGTAAGAGAGTCAATGAAAATCTCAATTACCCATTTTCTCCACTGTTGCATTCACAGTACTGCAGAATGAACACTCAGTGGATATCTACCCCTTTACTTGGCTCCAAATGACTTCCTCACTGATTTAAGCTTGAAGCACAGTGCCAAGTAGTGTCAGATACCAGTTTTCAAACACACCTCATACTTCCTAAGAAGCGGAAAGATCATCGCTAGAAATTGTCTGATCACAAGCAAACTACTCTGTATCACCCAGTCAGACAACCCAGCAAAAATCTCCAGTCCCAGCCTAGAGTGTGCATCAGGCCATGATGGCGTGGTAGCCAATAGCACAAAAACACAAGAACTTGCAGCTCTGTTTCATGCAGCCATCTCTTAACATTTCTGGCAAAAAGGAAAATGACCTGCCTAGGAAACAACAGACATTTCAGTGGCCAGAATGATGAGAGAACCAAAAGCCTGCCATAGGCCTATGCAATATGCATTTCCAGCAAGAGCAGTAGATCCTATAGTGCATGGTAGTCAGGTATCTTTATTTGAAGATTTTTCTGCAATCCTGTAAATCTGTTGCAGTAATGACTCCATCAATTATATTAGCAAAAGGTAAAATACTTGTTTTCATAAGAATGTATCAAGACAGACTGTGAAACCACCTGAACTTACTTAGGATGCTTCAGCTACCACCCACTTCTAATCATTCTCAATTAGTGCTATCCAAACAGAAAAAGAAAGAATACTGTAAGAAGCAGTCACGAAAAAGTGGCCAGCAATCTTCACAGAAAAGGGAAGATAGGCATTAAAAAGGCAGGTAAACTCGGTGCAGATATTTTCAGGGATTCTTGCCCATATAGGCATGTCATACATTGACCAAATAATTGAGTCAAGAGGAATTGCTTTTTGTACTCAGGAATCAGAAACTTTGAAAACATAATTGTGGTTCACTGAGTAATTTCAGACTTCTCCAGATAGTTAGATAGTTATAATACCATTGTTTTTCATACAATGCTACAGGCCCTAAGGAATACTTAACTATTTTCAAAATATGTTTCTTACCAGACTCTTTTAAGTTTACAGCAGATAAAGTGCAGTGATAGAAAATTCTGCTTTTCCATTGTGAAATTAACTGGTTACACTGAACTGCCTTAGAAGGCCAAATAAGAGGCCTAACTCCCTTCCTTGCTGATCTCAAAATCCAGACCTGGAAAATTCCTGAAGAGAGGCAGCAAGCATGAGATTTGTTTCTGAGAGCAGAAACTTGAGTCAGAGCTGTAACACCTGTTCAACCACAGCAGCTCAAGATCATCTGAGCAGCAGTTCTAGTTTCATTCTCCTTCCAAAGTACTGCTTTATTTTGTCCAGCATCACAGGGAAGGAAACCATTAACTCACCAGCAGCAGTTTGAAATTTCTGTCCTTTGGGAAGCTACTTAATGGTCAAAACATTTATTGTATGTTCTTCTCTATGCACCAGATGCTGATGTTACAAGTGTTTGGTTGCTGAAGAGAGACAAGAGAAGACAAGCTCTCTGTCCCTCAGCAGGAACAGGTCCTACAGTCAACAAAGGTACCTAGAGGCTCTAGATCAACCAAATCATCTTTAGAACAATGCTTCAAGGCTGAGAGATCACTTATCAAAGGGAATAAAATCTATTCCTACCTTGCTCTGGCAATGAAGTTCTGAAAATCTTTAGGATTCACTCCCTCCTCCTCTTCTTGTTTCTTTTTTGATTGTTTCTGAACCATCTGCTCTGTTTCCTGTTAATAAGCAGTATCAGTAAGTGCCTCTATGTTCCATGGCATAGCTATAGCTCCCAGAATACAAAAACCAATTCCAGAGGATCTAAGAAAAAAAGAGCATCGCTATGCGCAACAACATGAACAAATACGGAGAGCCCCAGAGACAACATCCTAAGCATACACTAAAGTCCAGTTCTCCACCTGACACAACTGATTTGCTGAGAAAAGGTCAAGTTTTCAGAAATGTGTGGTGTTCCTTCAACTACACTCTTTGCTAGAACATAAGGAAGTATGGAAGGGAAAAAAAATTAAATCATTCTTCACAGATATTAGGTCCCCTCTCTACTTTGTTGTTTCTGCCACAGAGTTCCTCCAAACAGCTTTTTTTTGTGCATTTGTCCCAGAAGTAGAGAGATAGGAGGGGAAAAAGTGTAAAATTAATCTTAGAGAAACTGATGGATATCTGTAAAAAATCAACAGATTTTCTACTATAAACTAGTAGTTCTCTTGAATTAATTTCTTTTGTCAAGCAGCAAATTGCTGAGGGCTTATACACATACCAAAACCCCAGTGCTTTAGCAAAGACTAAGAAAGTACAACAGTACAGCCTATGGCAAACATGTTTATACACTGAAATATACTGGAATGAATGGTAAGCCTTTGTGGGTGAAAATGGGAGCAAGTTTGCAGATATAAATGGTCTATTTTACACCAGGAGAACTGTTGGCACTAGAGGGTGGATTGACACAAACATATTTGTTCATTAAAAAAACCTTCAGACTTGTCTGAAATGCTAGTACCAGCTTAAAAGTTTTCTCTGACCAGACTTGACCTCCACTTCATTTCTTCCTGCTGTTAACATGAGCATTCCCAGGAAAAAAGGGTCAGATCTATCTTTTGATAATTTAAGACAGGGAAGAAAAAGCCGGTTTGGGACATCTTTACCCTTTACTACTTAAGTAAATGTCTGGATAACATGTGATTTGTTTTACTTAATTTGCTGGAGCTGTATTTTTCTCTTCTGTGTCATTACAGATGATATATAATGGCATGTAGGAGTCCCTATTAAATCTGAAGTTACAAGCCAATGAAAGAAGTCTGTATGTTGGAATCAGAAATCAAAAAACCTCACAGCCTAACAGTCTCTCAAGGGCTTAAACATGTACACCCTGAAACCTCAAGTGATATGTTCTCACTTGTTTTAACTGAGAAAATATGTTTACAATTATGATTTATTGCCAGTTACACAGCTTTATTTTGTGAATTTACTCAGGAGTTAGCAGAAAATCCTAATGTTTGAATACAATTTGACTGGAAATTATACCCAAAACAGCTGCATTCTTCACTCACCACAGAGCCACCCAAGTGTTTTGTGGTTCCTTCTAACAGAGTACTTCAGTGAGCATTAGGCATACAAGGCACTCCCTGGAACAGATTTGGTTCAACACCAACCTTGATTAGACAGATCAAGTTACCAGATGTCAGTTCTGACAAGGTAATGTAAGTGAATATCCTCTCCTAAGGAGTAGAAGCTTGGAGGCCTCTGCACAGCAGTCTCTGAAAGCTGAATTTCAATTAGCCTTGTTCTAACACTGAAGAAATGCAAGGAGGCAAAGGAAAGGGGAAGCTGTCCCTGCAGAACGAAGATTAGGTTGAAACCACTATGTTAAGAACAGCACTTCCTACATCTGAATATGTGAAAATTATTTAAATTAGGACCTCCATCTCCTTAACACTGAGCATGCAGAGCACCTTACTACAGATAAGTAGCAGTCCCTCAGTATACCAAGTAAATAGTAAAACTCATATTTCATGCTGTTCTGTATAAAATAAAATATCTTTAAAGAAGCCCCACAAAAATAAAAAGTGGAAAGAGGCATCAAAAAGCACTAGAATCAATGACAAGGCAAAGAAAAAGCAAACTGTCAGGTAAATTCCACTTCATTTCAGCACTTCTTTTTATGCACATAATTACTAGCCTGCACATATTACGTAATAATATTGTTGTCTGACAATTTCAACAAAGTACCATTATTGGATGCACAGCTGCAAGCAGATCATGTAAATAACAGAAGAGTGTCTTTGAAACAGCCTGCACAAGACACTCTGTAAGAAGAAAAGAGAAACCAAAAAAATAATTAAAAAAAGAGTAAGTCACCTTCTTATAACAGATGATGAAGTCGCCCAGCTGGCGGGCCAGGATACGACGACGATCAGTTAGTCCTAAATGACGGCTGGGGAGCAGCAGCCTCAAGGAGTGACGGAGGTTGCTGGCAGCTCGCTTCAGAAAGCGGACAATGAGCTCCTGCAAGCAAGAGAGATGGACTTAACAACGTGCCATCTGCAAGATGTAGGGAGAAGAGAACACAGATACTACAGCAGCTAAGGACTGGCAGGAACTAAACATATTGTCCTGAGAAAATGAGCTGAAACCGGCAGGCAAAAGCATTCTGCAATACTTACTTTTAACACAGCCCTATAAATCCAATGTGGGGGAGAAAAACAATGGTGTATGTTGCCTGGGGTTGGTCAGAATTTTAAACACTTAAGAAGTGTTTGTCTCAAAAGCATGGCAGATAAAGGAAAAAAATAACCAGTCAGCAAAATGCAGTGACACATAATAACCCGTAAAGTGCAATATCTTATGAGAATATTTCCAAAAACCCACCTGCAATGTATTCAAGAAGGCCTGTGAAAAAGTGCACTGACATTAAACTCTCTCAGAAGTGCCACAGGAAAGGGCTCTTGGTCAGATATCTCCACTATAGTGGGTAGCCCCATTTCATCATTTTTCGTATATATATATATATATATATATTTATCAATAGATATACGTGTGCACCACATCCTCTCCACAGCAATAGATGAATAGATGTCTATATGTACAGCCATGTAATTCCAGTCCCTCACCATGTCTGCTTGACCTCTGGTGGAGGAAACATATGGCAAGGCAGATGCTAAGGAAAGATGCATCCTGTGGGTGTTTTGAACCCTTTCTGTCTCGCCTCTGGATTTGCTTTTGCTTAGGAGCTCTGCTAATGCATAAATGAGCAGCCTCACAGCCAAACTATTGGATTTCACAGCTCGCCTCTCACTGCCATTACTCCAGGCTGGTTTGATCTGTTATTTTAAACATTATTCTTCACAGTACAGCAGACAAAGTGACTCTCAAAAAGCCCATTTTAATTTCCACTTGGAAAGAGCAGAGGTAACATTTTCCACTGAATTGAATGATTATTCTTGACACACAATTTTATCTCTGAACTACATTGGCTGTTTCCCTGCAACACACACTCAATGAGAATACATGCAGAAAGCTCAAGAGCCTACTGTACAAAACTCTTTTAGGAAGGTTTGTGAAAGGATCTAGGCTTGTTGCACTTTTTAACATTCATACATATCAAACAAAGGACTTTAAAATATTGCCTAGAAAAATCAATCACTTTTATTTTCTCTTCTCAGAGGCTTTTACTTTAATTTCCTCTATCTAGAATGCAAGTAAGATTCATAAACATAGACGTCTGGATATATTACAACAGTACATAAGAGAAAAAGCTTAACTGGATACCCACTCTATTTGAGCAGTTGAATACTTGTGTTAATGCATCAGAAACCAGATCCTGACAAGTAATGTTAAAGAATCTTCTAGAGAAGAGTTCAAGAGCAGGTAAGCTCCAAAATCAGTGAAGGAGAACCAACAAGGGATCTGAGCAGCCTGAATGTCAACAAGAGTCCAGTCATTAAGAGCTGTCTATCATTGCTCTGAGGTCAGTCAGCAGTCCTACCTCATCTATATATTAAAAATACAGCACTGGCAGCTAGACAAAGATGAACAACCATCTCAGTTGGGCTTCTGTATTTGCAAGGATGGGAACTGACCTCAAAACTCTCAAGGTAGATTTCAACTTGGCTTCTCAGTCTGGCCAACACAAAGCTTCTTACCATTTGCTCATTCTCTTTGGCAGCCCAGGCAGGATTCTGGATCTGTTCACCAGCCTCCTTCATCAGTCGGAGCTGAACGTGCTGTAGATAGGCAGAGAAAGCTGTACGAGCTTGTACTTTGCTGTGGACAAAAAGAATCCATCAGCTATCTTCAGAATAGGAGTGGGAAGAGTTACAGCAGTCAGGCACAAATTATGGACCAAAGTATAGCCAGCAAGGACCTCCTAAGAACACTAATGCTGTAGCTCAAAGAAAGGAGGACCCCTTCACCCCATCAGTATTTTCAAGCAGACCTTCAGTTCACCAAGATGGAGTAGGTATTGCAGGAGGTACAGAAGATAGTAGACTCTAAGATAAATTCTAAAAATGGAATGCTCTTCCTGCCTTTTACAGCCTTGGTTACTCTCCTCTAAAAGCCAGTAACATGGACATCAGTAAAACTGTGTATTTTTAAAACAAATTCAAAGCTCTACTGGGCCCTCTGTTTTCACAAACATTTTGAACACCACAACAACAGACCATAAAATAAACAAAGGGCTTGGTACTGGTGCCAGAGTTATAACAAAGGCCCTGTAATTCCTATTGGAAATGGAAGAATTAAACCTGTGAAAGTGAGCTCTTCCCCTGCTGGCTCAGGGATACAAGCCAAATTTCATTGAGCAAGGCACCACTGAGGAATGAAGGAACATCAGCAAAATCTGCTGTGCAGCTGGCTGAACATGTTGGGAAGCTGTAAGCATGAACTGAAGAGAGGACTGGGAGGGACACATAGCTTCTCATTCCCTCACAATAGTAGCCACTTTAGTATAAGCATCTGTTCTGAGAGAAATTGCTGAAAGCTCTGCCTAATTCTGTTCATTGTCCTCTTGGTCTAAATCCCCTCCTCAAACACTCTGCTCTCCCAGCCTCTGCTTTTCCTTATAGTTTTCCCCACAGTTGCTAGAAGCTTTTCATAAGGATATAGCAGCAGATTGCCTTTAGCGTCAGCAGCAGATTTCCCTTTCTATCACAGGAAGTGTCCTAATATGTTCTATAGAATTTCAAGTTTCATTTTAAACGAACTAGAGTTTTTAACCCATTACTTTCCTGAAATATTATGCTAGAACTTACTGTTCTAATAAATAGGAACCTCCTCTTACTACCCAGCCCAGCTTCACTTATAAGCAGTTCATAACTGCTTTTTCTTTCTCCAACTCTGTCCTGTATCTTAAATATAATCCCTGATGGGTCTCCCTCCTTGAATGTCTTTATCAACAGAGTTACATCCTTTCATAGTTTTCATTTTGTTAGTGTGAACTATCCACATCTGTCAGTGTCTTCTAACAAAGCACCCACAATGATGACGTGATGAGACCAGCAGCTCACCTCCTCCTGTGTTCCACTCACAATTTGTTTTCCATGAATATGGGTGATACAATACTCCACATGAGGTCTTAGAAGTACATCAAGTGATAAATCCTGGAACACATTTGGTGTTTTCATGCATGCATGAGCTAGGGCTTCACAAACTTCCTCTGTTCAACCAGCATGCAAGATATTTTTCCTTATAATTAATTTCTAGTCGATGAACACCCAGCTGACAGAACTTCTGCTGTAAATTATTAGTTCTTATAAGCATTGCATTGCACTTTGTGCTACTGAATTTCATCCTAGTTATATTATTTATATCCTCAAGGTCATCCAGTTTCTCATATTTAGTCCACTACTTTTCTCTCATGGTAATAACTCCCAAATTTCATTAGCACATTTGTACATTTTGTGTCATTCTTGAATTGACCATTAATGTCAGTCAGCCTCAGACCAATTTCTGAGGAACCTCACCATATTTTTTCTACTTGTTCTCTGCTTCTTACAAATATTCTCAGGTAGTTATATGGTCCTTATGACTACAGGTACATGAGTTCTTGAAAAGCTATTAAAAACTCTGTGCCACAATTAATTTTTTCTGGTTTACAGGTCTGTAAATTTCAGGAACACTGTGTTACAGCGTTACAGAGAAATCATATCACAGCAACACTTACAGAGATCAATGCATCAATTTAGGTAAAAATTGAAGTTAAAATACATTGGAAGTATCCATATATTGGCTTAATCATCAACTTTTGATGCTTCTGGAAGGTTACACAGGGCCAAAGAGGGGCTAAGCCAATCATAAGTGCACAAGAGTCTCAAGCTAACATCCTCTGTTAATTGCTGTACTGCAGCAACTAAAACATGATGAAAATACCTGGTTACAACTTCTGTCTTCCAGGAACTTCAGTGAACTCCAGAATGCACAGCACGCCTTGTAACATCTCTGAGCTCTGTATGCTACTAGTCACTACATCTACCTTTTCTTTCTAGATGTGTGGAACATTGGGAGAACTCTCTGAATCCTAGCTGAGAACTGATATTCTCTACATCAGGCCACCATGTATCAGAAAAGTGCTCACCTCAGCTCTCTAGAGCTGTCAGGTCTGGTTCAGATACAACTTGAACATCTTGTCACCAGTTCAAGATTTGTGCTTGATAAAGAGCCCACATTATCAACATGAGCACAATAATACAAATCTTGGCCTGCACCTGATACTTCTATGACTAAAAACTAAAGGGTTTTTTTTAACACTGCCTCTCTTTTGGTGAGGGGATATTGAAACCTGAGGCCTTAAATGCAGGAAAGAGTAATTTCCTTTTCATTTTACTTCCTTGGGAATGGCACAGTTGGGGGAACAAGTTTCCTTTGACTATCATTTCTTCACCAGTAACACCCAATGTGTGGAAGGTAGATATTTCCTCACCAGGCTGACTAAAGAAGAGAGAAGTCCTACCACTTATAAAAACTGACTAGAATAGGCCTGGTTTCTCTCAGATGAAAATTTTATTACTTCAGCTCCTCTGCCTGTTGAGTTCACAAGCAAAGCTTACATCAATGACAGATCAGATGGGGCCAAGCCCAGCACAGTCTTGGAACATGAGGTCACCACAAGCCTTACACCTTTCTGTGGGGATTCCCAACAGTGCTGGGTGCTGAGCAAGATTCTGCCAGGAACATCAGACAGAGCTTATGCTCTTGGCAGGAGTCAGTTCTATATATACATGGATATAGACACAGCATTGCTATATTTATCCTCAAAAGAGGTTTCAGAATCTTCCCCATCACAGCAGCAAATGTCCTTGCCACAATTAGACATCAGAACAATCCTCAAAGCCATTGAATAACCCATAGTTTCTCCCAGAAACTGAACTAAGAAAGCAACAATAAGAAACATTTTTTTCTATCTTCGGACATTTTTCACAGAAAACATAATGTTGCTTCTTGCCTAGAAGATGCAAAGTCTTCCTACACAGATATATATGATCATGCTTTCTTTTTGCACTTTGTCCATCTGCAATTAGACAGTTTTGCTAGCTACATGCAAGGGGAGGATCGTATTTCAAAACATCTACTTAAGACCTTGCTTGGTGTTTTTCCATAGAATCTCCTCCAACACATCTCTTTTTTCAAAGAAACATAGTCACGCATCAGAACATACACTATTCCACGCCATCATACTCAACAACATGCAATGAGATGTTTCAGTAATTTGCCACTCTTAAATTACCTGCTAATTTTGCTCTCAGAGGGAGATGGCCTTGAGCAAAGACTACTACTAGACGGAAAAATTCTATCATCAAAATTAAAAGTGAAAAAATGAGAAAACTGATTTTATGGAGAGACAGCACTAGATATTCCTATCCAACCCTTCCTGGATAATTTAACTTATGTTTATAACCACTTCCTGGCAAATGCAAAGAATGAGAAGAAAACATTTGGAATTCAGTAGCAGGCAACCTGCATTAAGGCAAAGAGGCATTTCAGAAGCCTAGGCTGACAAACAGCAGTTTACATCATCAGATTAAAGAACAGCAATGGAAACTATAGGGTCATGCTTTACACTGATCCAACAGGTCAGGCATTTAGGTAAACTGCCAGACTTTGCAATGGTCTCCTTTCTCTGCCAACAAGATGTTAAGGCAGCCCACAGTTAGACAAAAATCCACACCCCTTTTCTAGGGTCTTATCTCTTCACACTCATAACATGCATCCTTCACATTTTAACTCATATTAGCTTCAAGTCAAAGCTAGAGGCAATATGCAGAAAACTCTCACCTCAAGTTTCCTTGCTTTTGCAGAATCTGAAGCAAGTTAAACCGAGATTCTGAGTCTGGTTTTTGCAGAAACAGCTCTTCTCCAGCTCCAGTTTTCTTGTCACATTTTTTTGGTAACCTCTCCTTACAAGGAGTTTTCACTGAGTCAGAGAGCTTTGGCTTGTTTTTCACCTGGGTGTCCGAAAGAGAGCAAACACTTCTATCTACCTCTTCATCTTCATCTTCATCTGCATCCATCTCCTCTTCCTCCTCATCTTCTGTGTCCGACCTGAGGGACAGCTTTGTTGATTCTGATGTGCCTGTAGAAGAGGAGATATCAATTATGTTGGTTAAGAAAAAAAATTGGAGAGGACTGCTCTACTATTTATACCCTTTGGTTTACCCCTAAACGCTTTTCTGCTAGGAGCACAGAATATCACCATTTCAGAAAAGCATCTTAAGTATGACTGTTCTGTATATTCTTTCTTTCTGCTTGTCCATCAAACAGTTAAGAAGCCCATTTTCCCCATATTACAGGATACAGACCAAGATTCTTGTTTTCACCTTACAAATGAAAAAAGAATACCCACGAAATCAAAGAGGCAAAGACATTTTCCTATATTTTATCCCAAATCTTACATATATATTGACATTTATACACTCATACTTGATATATATACACACACATTTTTGTATGTTGTGTGTCAAATAAAACAAAGCTACAAAATCTAAACTTCCACATTTGCCAATAAAGATCATATACTTTAACATAGCAGCAAAAATCATAACGTCCAATCTCTCCTATTGCAGTCAGTATCACACAGCTATTAGAAAGAGTTTAGATAAAGGCAGGAACTGTCACTTGTGGGGATCATTCACCTCTGTACCCTTTTTTCCAACATCTGCTTGGATATAGATTTCTCTTCCCAACAGCTTAAGAGTCACAGCTGTCTAGGAGAACCAATCTGAAAGGTCCCCTCTTTTTTCAAAAAGCTAAAGAATTACAGAGGCATGCATAATGTTTAATTCTTTACCCAAAATGCCACAACAAGCTCATCTCCAAGTAAGCACTGATTACTAGTACTCATACACATGGGGGTATGGAAAGGTGGGAATGAAACTCAAGGCACTAAACAAACAAGAAGCTCAGAACTAGAGTGAAAAGAAAACTATTAACATTTGAAACTGAACAACCCCATTCACACACATATCAAATGAAAAAGTCCTTTGCTTGCTTGTTTTTGCCTAGCTGTTCATCTAAAACTCTAGCCATGCATACCTGATGCTCTTGTCTGTGCTGCTCTGGCCTTGCCACGATATCGCCGACGGTTCCGCAGCTCCAGTGAAACAAGCTTCCTCTCATAAAAGAGAGCATGAGAGTCCACAGCTTCCATCATCATATCTGACCTTCCATTGAGACCTGCTCTGGGAAGCATAGTACAGACATATCCCTCAGTCTCCCTTTGTTTTTCTCTCCCTGATGGTACAAGAGACCTAGTAGATCAAACTTTTTCAAGAAATATTCTTCCTGATACAGGGAAGAAACATTTACCATCAGTCTAACTCTGCTCTACTTACGCCTGTAAATGTTTGAAAAGAGTCTTGTATGTACTTCACAGAACATCATCCTTCAAAGCCCCAAGACACACTCACCTAGTGTCACGCTTTCATGGCTGAGCAGCATCTGCCCATCATGCAACAGCTCAGGGCACAATTAACAGAGGAAATTGCAAGAGTACAAAACAACGAAGGGGAATGGATAGAGAGCACATTGACACATATCCAGTTGTCTGAATCATTTATGTAAACAGCTTGTTCTTCACAGATATAAGAATTTTAACATAATAAAAGTGGAAAATGCCTAACTTTCTACAAGTTCTACCCAAGTCAAGGGATGAGGAGTCCTGCCAGATTCCTTAAGGGAAACATACAAAAGTAACAACTTTCTGCCAATGCACAAAGATCCAGAAAAGTGCTCCCTATGATATAAGTGGAAACAAGCACAGAAAATGCTTATTGTTTCATTTATCTTTTTGGATCTAACAAAGTGAATATATGAGTATATGAAGAAGAAAACCCTTGTGCATTTGACAGAGCTCAGTGATGAGGCTTATCAATATGGCAGGAATACCAAAGTGAGAAGCCTATGAGGAGAAATTTTAAGGTCCAATGAAAACATGAGCTCTCCACACATGGGTATATTCTTTTCTCACTGCATTTATGTTTCTAAAATTATTTTCATGAGTTTCAGGTAGAAAAGGTTGACTTACAACTTGAAAGATGAAGCTAAGGAAATCTAAATTTAGAATAAATCCTACAAAGCACATATTATTTAATTAAGAAGCTATTTACCGGGATCTCCTAGTGACAAACTCTCTTTTCATCTTGCCCCTACAAATACAAAAAGGTCAAAAATTTAATCAAGGATCAGCCTTGATTAAAAAGCCTCCCTAGTTTTTCACATGTACAATGGAAAGACCATATTTACAGAATTACTTGCGAGTTCTATCTTAAAGGAGAAAAGAAAAATGCTCCCAAAAGAGGGGCCCTGAGCAGCTGCATGACAACTGATGCTTGCATTTGTCTGGCTTAAGTTGGAGAAGGCATCATTTAGAAGTACTCTTTAGACACATTCCTGAATGTACACAGAAAAAAAAACTGTACAGTGCTGATGCAGGAAGAGCTTCTGTAAATATAGTCTCCTTCCTCAGCTACCTCGTCTTGACTTGGCAGTTACTTCTTAGTGGATCTCAAATTTGCACAAGCAGAATTTGGAGAATGAAGGGCATTAAACATGCAGTGAAAGACACTGCATACAATTCTCAGTGGAAGCTCAGCTAGTGGCACAAACTGTCATTTCCACCCAACCACAACCCAGAAAAAGAATAATCAAATAACGATTGCACAGGTCAAGACATAGGGATACTAAAAACGCTAGAGAATCAATTTCAGGGTTTACTTTACATGAAGACAAGCTTTAATGCCATTTGAAATTTGAACGAAAAGGTAAGTCAGAACCACCTATAATCCCTTCATAGAGAAACCTAAGTACTTGAAGTGTTTTCATGTCTATAGTAATATTAGTACTCCAACGATTCCCATGCCTTTTGAGTGTTGTCCTTTTTGCCCTTGGTTTCAGAAGAGCAACACAAATATATGAGCAACAGTCATTGGCACACTAGAGAAGAGATTCACACTTATCACCACCCCTACAAATCCCAGACTTGTGTTTATAACATTGGATAAGTAAGAAATCAATCCATTTTGCACTGTTTGTGCCCCCAAACAGAGAAACTTTTTTCTACCTGCCCTTAAACAGACGTGTAGCCAGCATGTAGTTCATTGATGTCTTGTGCTCTAGAAAAGACCTAGGGGAAAAACAAACAAACAAACGAACAATAAAAACCAAAATACAAAAACAAAACAAAAACAAAACAGGATTATCAAGACAGAACTCAACTCAATGAAAGGCAGCATAATACAGAAATAAATGATCTCTAAAAGAACATCCCAGAAGTGGATTCAGACAACATGCTGCATCATAACAGAAAAGACAAAAGGAGAAGAGCTATCAATTCTCGGCTGAAGTTCCTGGTTATGCAAGAGACAGAGAAAACATTACAGACCGGAAAAATAAATGTAGGAAAGTGTAATATGGTATAACTTTCAGAATAAGTGAGTCCTACATGCTGTTTATGGCCTAATGACAAAAGTACACCGTATGCAGCTTGAGGATGTAAAAAAGTAGTTAGCAAAAATCTGAAAGGAAGACACTTATTCTAACAGAAAAGCAATACCAGAAATAATGTCCAACAGCTTTCCATGGGGTGCAGTTATGCAAAGCAGCAGCTGATAAAAAGAAAGGATCAGAAAAAAGAATATTCAACACTTAAATAAACTTTGCCAAAACTTTTAATTTCTTTTTGAATGCCAAGATAGCTGATGTACACATATCTAACACAGAATATCCCTTAAAACGAAGCATCAGTGCCATCCTATCAGGCTTTTATTCTTACCCATAAAGGTCCCACGTTAATGGGGTAGGGAATATCCGGATGAAGCCTCCTCTCCGTTCATTTTCCTCTCTCACTCGCCGAAGAACTTTGATCTGATTAAAAAAAAAAAATAGAGAATAGCCAGCAGAATAGATAACAATGAAAAATGAACCTTCCAAAAATCTCTGAATTCTAGAAAACAAGACTATTCAGTCTTGCAAATGGACTGGGTAGACAATGATATCCGTAAGAAATTTTGCCCTGCATTTAAATTCTGAAGGAGTCTATCACTGCCTCAAGCAGATCTCTGCTTGGCATGATTGAGGGCAAGGGCAAGACCAGCAGTAAAACTCAAATTCTGTTTCAAATATTATACTTATTCTGTCACATTTTTCATTTACATGCACTTGCTCTTTGTTGAGAAAATAACCCCACATACTTCATGAAAGCCAAGGTAAATAAAAGCTATTTAATAGCCTCCTTACCTCTTCCATGGTGAGGCCTAGCACAGAGCTGCTGTGCCTTCCTGTTGCTTTTTCCCTGCCTAAGGGCATCAAGCTTTTAACTTCAGCATCGCTGGCAGACAGAGGACGGGTACGCTGTAGAGACAGTGTGAATCCAGATTTTTTTTCCTCTCTCAATTTTCATATTTAAAAAATTACATTCAAATTCCAGGACCCCATTCCCACCAGGATCTATACTCCAGAGCACTATAGCCAGAATCCACAATTCCACACTCTAGCTGTTGGCGAGTCCACACCCCAGATGTCACTAAGTGTGAGTATTCAGAACTCTTAGGTTTCAGCACAGGAGGCACAATTCAGGAATGCATACTCCCAGTATTTATACCCCTGGCCCCTTCCAGAAGAACAGAAGACATACCAAAAGCAGCAAAGTCAGAATGTCATACAGGAAAATCCTTTACCAAGGGGCATTAGAGTCAGAATTCACAGGACCCAAATAGACTTAAATTTACACATCAATGGTACCAGAACCATGATTCTCTGTTCTAGCTGTATTGCTACACTAAAACAACAGAACTGTAATTCCCTCGTGAGGTGTGTTGCAGGGAAATGTTCACCACCTGTTATTCTTTTGTTAATATACTGCTGAATGTCAACTTACTATTTCTCGAACTTAACAGATACATCCTGCAGATGTACATAGTTACATCATGCAAATTTGCATAAATATGCAAAATTTTAAAATAAGAAAAGCAATAATTTGCAGACAGTGTCACTAAGCTTATTTTTAACCTGACAGGCAGTCCCGGCCAATTCTAACAAAAGGACAGGAATTCAAAACGTCTTCAAACCATCAGGATTATAAAATTTTAAAATCCAAGCAAGACAGAAATCTTTGAACTTGTTCTCGAGTACATTTAAGATGGTCTTAGGCTCAGTTTAGATAAAATACCTCTGTAAAAACAGCACTAAAAGAGTCTACTGAGAAGGTCTAAAGCATTTATACTAAACTCAAAGTTTCTTTTAGCTCTATGCTGAGCAAAGAATGCACAGAGAGCCTTAATCTAGAAAGAAGAGAAAAACATGACAGAAACCTTAAGGTGGATAAGTCCAGGGGAATATCCCATACTGCTCAGATACAAAAAAAATCCATGGCAAGATCAGGATGCATCTTTATTTGTAAAGACTATGGGAATTGAATTCCATTCTCTCCGTTTCATTAGAAATGGCAAGCAGCTATTCAGAATCTGTAGATGAAGCAACAGCAAAAGCAACAGGCATTGCACTAGAATAGGTTATACTGCAATGATTGGCACAGTAAAATCCAAAGATAAAACAGACATAGCAGGTACCAGCTGAAACATTTTTTTAAGCCTAACTAAAACTGATTAGAAAGAGAAAACAAGACAATCTGGATGAGAAGGCAGGAGACACAAACATCTGCAGAAGAAATAAAAATGCCAGAAATAAAACAGGTTTGCTTGATGCTATAAATGGCATTAAGTTGAAAGACTTTTAGTCTTTCTTTCTCAGCTTTCTTCCATTTCAAAACAGCTCAAAAACTTTGCTTAACAACTTTCTCTAAAATCTGATAGGTAAGCTTTTCTTAAAAACCATTTCCTGGCACTAGCATAACAATCCATCATCATGTGAGAACTGCTGCTCAAAGAGTATTACAGGAAATTCTTCATCCTATTAAATTATCTGCTTTACTAAGGAAACACTTCAATGAAATCATCTCCATTGTCTCAATACAACATAGATGATTTTGTTGATTATAAACAGTAAACATATGTCTATGTATTGGCAGCTCTGACTCCTCCCTGAGAACAAAACTACATTGCTGTCAAAATACTAATGAAAACTCTGTCTTTGCTGGACTTCCTGCACAAACAGTTTTTTTCCACATTTCACTACAGAATATCTGGCTGAAGCACAGGAATGTCTCCAGCTTCACTAAGATCTTGTTTCCTCTTTGACCCAGCTTTATCTATAAAAGCATAGCTAAATCCAACCACTCTGGTACATCTCCAAACTCTGCAAGTATCCTTGGTTCCCAAATTATTATTCTAATTTAATAAGCACTGACAGCAGCTGGCACAAAGATCCTTCCTATTCTCTATGAAACCTTGTTATTCACTAAGACTCTTTCCTCTGAGCCTCAGCTAAACTTACTCAGAATGACAAAAAGCAATGAATAGACTGAATTAGGTTCTCAAGATGATTCCATCTGTCCTATGTTCCCTTCCTGATGGGGAAACCCCATTAAAAAAAAGAGAGAATAATTCCCACTACATTTGTGCAGGAAGGCCAGCAGAAAAATAATGCCTAACATGTCCCCACATGGCCAGGTGCTTAGAATTGCAAGCTAATATTGATTTGTCTATATGGCTTGCAAGAGGAGTGACAAATAGAAGATTTAAAAGATAGATCACTCTCAAACCAACAACAGTACCATATTTTTCCATTACCTTTAAGAAATCTTTCTTTTCTCTGCATCTATTTTGACCAAGTTCATGCTCAAATTTTTGCGGTACTTTTCAGAAGACTGTCTCACAGAAAATGATTACTTCTCTTGTAGGGCCACCTGAATTTTGTTTGTATAAATTCTCCTGTGCTTACCTTATCATTCAGACTTGTAGTTTTAAAAACTTTGAGCGATTTGATCAGCTGACCTTGACTCTCAGCACGCTTCACCTACTTTTTTTTTAAGCCAGAAATGATTGTAAATACTTTTTTCAACATTTGTTTTTGCCACATGGAAACATGCTGGTGCCACCCCCTCATGTTGACTTCCCTCTCACCCCTCTGCCCTTGTCCCAGGCTACTCTAACTATAAAATATATTTGGTGACTAATTATGCCAAAACCATTGTACACAGTAACATTTGAAACTGTAGCACTTACACAGGTGATGGGAGCTGAAAGGAACTTACCAATCTGCTATTTGCTGTTTGTGACTGTGCAGACACAGAACGCTGCAAGAGACACACAAAGAGAATAAAAATCTTGTGTTCTCCAAGACACTATGATCCCTGCCCAAGTTGTTGAGGACTGGCAAGTGCCTTAAACAAAACTTATACTTAAGCAAAGGGTGGTGAGGCACCGGAACATGTTGGTCAGAGAAGCTGTGGATGCCCCAGCCCTGGAACTGTTCAGAGACAACTGGATGGGGCTTGGAACAACCTGGTCTAATGGGGGGGGTGTCCCTGTCCATTGCAGTGGGGTTGGAATTTGATAATCTTTAAGGTACTTTCCAGTCTCAACCATTCTATGATAACTGAAGTCCAGAGATAAAGCTAACCTCTTATATCATCTTAGTTTGATCTTCCTCATATCCTGCACAAATGTGTCCTATCCCCATTCCAAACACAGTACTCATTCTAACCTCAGATGTGCTCAACTGTGCAGAATGCATCTGGACATATGGTTTTCAAAAGCACACTGAACTCAACTGTAATGACCAAAATGTGTAATTTTGTAAAATAAGTCACCCATATAAAAATATTTAATAGCTATGCATCAAGGAGAAACAGATGCTATCAAGTAAAACTGTTCACAGAACCAGAAGAGGGGGGAAAAAAGTAAAAATTCCTTAATTTTGCAAGCAATTTCATTTAATTATCTCAACATTATTCCAGTTCTTGTGAAGAAACAAGATACTATTTAACATTCTAACACATGCGTAGAAATATTAGAATGTTCAGATTTACCCTGTATTACTTATCTGTTATCAGGCCTACAAGTAAAACCAGTTTAAGGACAGGTACAGGTTCAAAAGAAAACAATCATCATTGGAGTTGAGATTTTTCTTCTTCAGTGGTACTCAGGCTGTCTTCCTCCTCTCCAACACCCACATGAGGAGCAAATGGTGTAAGAAAGGATTCTCAGGAGACTTATCTATCATTTCTAGCTGCGCTACTGACAAGTTCTTCTCTAAAGTTGGTCTGTTCAAAACAGATCAAGGTCTCTTCATTGTTTATGATTAATTGAAAGAGCTCCAACCCAAACCAACAAGAAGTTACAAAGGAAGCAGCTAAATTGTCCATTTCCCTAGAGGGTGAAATGCTCAAAGAGTCAAACCAGAGAAATTGCACAAGAAACCTGCAGTCCAGTCTGGTGAAGCTCAGAAAAAAGAGCAACCATCTCAAGATAGTTATTCAAGAAAACTCTCAAGAGCAACAGTTCTTTTCCAAACAACAACTTTTATAATGATTAAAAATGGCCTATGTGAATGATCAAAACTTAAGACATCATGAAGGAGCTAGGAAAAAACAAAAGAGATTACATATATCCTTTGCAACAGAGAATTGGAACAGGTATAAAAAATCCAAAAATCTGAGCTAAAATGTATTCAAGCAAAGAACAAGCTAAAACATTCTGGAACCACGGAAATACCTAAACACCTATTTAGCCACAGGATTTCCACTTAGGTACTTTTAAAAATGTTGTAAAACTCTATCACTGGATTAGAAACCTGTTCCTGTTAAACACAGGTTAGAGGAAACACCTTAATTTTTTTTCATAACCAATGTACTGTGATACAAATCTTTGCACTTTTGCACTTTTCAACTGGCCAGCCTTACATCTCTGTGTGGGTATTTGTTAAGTAAAACAAAGTTGAAAGCCTCCTTAAAATTCAATGCTTTACAACAGCATCATTTTCTGAGACTGCCTTGTATAATTTTGTCAAATCATCAGGATCACATTACTCTAAGAAAAAAAGGGTACTTTTTTTGGAATGGTTCCTAATTTACCTCATGTACTTTTTCTCTGCTACAAACAGCACCTACACAGTCAGAGGAATCCGCATTTAAAGCACTATTATATTTGTCTTAGAAGTTTCAGACTCCAACGTGCATCCTAAAGATACTCAAATCCCATTTTACCAGATATTCACCTCTCTCACAGTGACTAAAGACTCTGAGTTTTACAAGAGACAAAATACTGCAATTTCTGTGAGTTTTCCCTATACCAAAATGGACAGTGTCTTGATACACTGTCATTGAACAAAAATGTTCCTAATGTTGTCATTTCCTAACTTGAGCTACACAGTCATGCTGCATGTCCATCACAGCACCATAGCTGCAGAGATGTCAGAGAACACTGTCTGCCTATTTGCCTGAGGAGAAACGAGTTGAAAGTCCAAGTGATGTAACAGATCTCCCTGCCTTTTGTGAATGCTCCATTTCCACAGATATTTATGGAATCTGTTTCATAGACAAAAAGATAAGAGAACAACTGCCCTTCAACATTACAGTGCTGAGAAAGCACTACCTCAACAGAAAAGGTAAGGGGCAGTCACAGCAAGTCACTGATCCATGGGAAAGAAAGTGAGATTCCAAAAGAGAATGGCAATGAAGCCTTAAACTCCAAATCCAAGAAGTTGTTCACCTAGAAGGAGGTTTTGGAGACATTCATAAAGCTCTAGGTTTCTGGAAGCTTGTCCACAACAAAATCAAATTGGTTGAACAGCCCAGAATTCAGGTGTATTCCCTGAGTCTGAGAACCACAGAATGGTTTGGGTTGGAAAGACCTTAAAGGTCATCTAGATCCAACTCCCCCGCCGTGGGCAGGGAAGCTTCCACTAAACCAGGGTGCTCAAAGCCTCATCCAGCCCGGTCTTGAACACACCCAGGGATACAGAGTCCACAAACTCCTTGGACAATATGTTTCCATGCCTCTCCACTCCCACAGTTAAAAATGTCATCTTCCATAGTTATGCCAGAAATCCAGATCATCTCGCTCACTGCCTCTCACACCTGTGAGTAAAATTCAGTGACAATGACTTTGTCCTACGCTCCTCAGCCAGGGCTTGTCAAAGTCACCTACCTGCAGCTTCTGGTATGGATTTCTTCTGACAGATTCAGATGAATGGTAAGTGGCCCGGCTTGACCGCTGGCCTGGATCCTGGCATACAAAGCCTACGGACACCAAGAGCCACATGAGAACTTTAAGACAGACAAACCCTGAAATATAAATCTAGCATTCCTGATCACACTCTTAGTCTACACATGACCACCTTGTCCCCGCCCAAGGACCAATAAGGATGCCTTTCTTTTTTATACCTTGCTTTCTTTAATCCTAAACTGTAATTGCATCACATTTTTTTGAACAAAAACTTGCTTCAAGACCAAGTACTTAAATCAATAAATGGCTTACTGAATAGCAGCACAGAGATAGACTTGTTTTTTTAAACAGCTGAGCAGGGTACCTGATGACAATTCTATTTCTTTCACTATTGAGGCAAATTGCATTAAGCAACTAAATCGAGATGCAAGGGACACTGTACTCTAGACAGTACTCCAATTCTAGTAACCCAACCAAAACCCACACATTCAACCTAAAAAAATGCATGAATACTAACTCTGGAATCTAAAGAGACAGCAGTGTCTTCAAATACCAAATTAGGGACCTTTAAAACCACCTAAGCGTCACAGATAATCATTCTGAAGTTGAAATGTCCATATATCATTTCTCAATGCTAAATAGAGCTGTCCTCCTTAAACTAGAATTTACGTCTATATACTCATCTAGTATTATGCAGCTCATAAATCTAGCTTTTACTGGCTTTAAATGACGGAAAGATTGAAGGATATTTGGTTTTTTGTTTTACTCACCTACAAGAGTGAACATATCTGAGAGCATGCTAGCTTTGATCTTCAGGTCCAAAGGAGCATCACTGTCCCCACATGCAACAGAGGATAATAGGAATTATTTCTCTGGCACTGAATGAGAAGAATGCATCAGTATTCAATATATCTCCCAATACAGTTTCTTTGCCCTCTTAAAACAGGCAAAAACAAGAAGAAAACTAGTTGATTTTCACACATATAGGTAAAGATCAGAGAGCAATGGATTAATCTGTTTATCCTTTTTCCAAAGCTTTTCGGATCCTAATGCAGATACAAACAGCTTTGTTTAAACTCTCCTTAGGGCTAGAAACATTTTCTTTGAAAGTATGTATGTTACATTTCAAGAAGTAGATAAAAGTTGATGTTGTAGAATTCTTAAAAATCACACTTAACTATGCTTAAAATCATAGCTTAAAATCATAGCTGAGAGACCTACAAAAATAAACCCTCAATTTCCATTAGAGTACGAGGGTCAGCATAAGGGCCAAGGCAACACTTACTCTTTAGAATTTTTCTGATTAAGTGTACTAGACTGACCCCAAGAACTCCTCTATGTACTCAAGTAAAGGGTAACTGATTGAACTCTGCTTGGACTCCAGAATCTTAAAGCTTCTATCAGCCAAGAAGACTGAAACCAAACACAATAGTCTGACAGAGCTCCAAAATTCATCTATGATGAGAGATTATGAAGTGTTAACAATGATGACAGAAGAGAAATAATTAAAAAGCAAATGGAATCCCAACTGGGCTCTTTCAAACCCAATTGCTGCAATAAGTTTGTTTATCCAAAGGGAAAAAAGCAAATGAGCATCCTCTCTGACAATCAGCTGTGGAACAAGATCTGCAGGGATTATGAAATCATGCCCTCCTAGGACCACAAGTTTCAAGGACAACTATCTCCAGTAACAGCCCCTGCCTCATATTAAACTGGGAATCACTTACCAGGCCAATGATGGGGACAGATTCACTTCCAACAGCCAGGGTTTCAGAGTGTCATCGATAAGGACATCAAAACCATATAGCTCTGAAAACACAGCAGACACTAAGTTCACCTTACTGCATCTTTAAGCATTCAGGTAAGGTCCAACATTAGTCTCTACCAAGTCATTTATATCTAAATTATGTATGTTAAATCCAGTAAATTTCCTAAGGATGAACAAATAATAACATTCCTCAAGTGGTAATTTTCACTTCCCCAGAATAAAACTTAAATATATTCTGCCTGTGGGGGAAAGAGGGGAACAAAAATATTAGGAAAGTATTATATAGAAAATTTAAAAACTCTTTACTGCCCACAAGCTGTATTTCACACAGAACTCTATTTGCTTCCACATAGAATTGACAAGCATAGCAGGTTCAATCTACTTCTTCCACTGGATCCTGGAAACGATAAAACTTCATTCTCCTTTTTAATCCCTTTATTCATTGTTCCAGTCAGCTAGAGAAAATCTTGCTTCCTACAAGCATCAGCTTCTTTTCAATTATTCCTGTATGTTTTCTGCAATATCCCCGTGGGGTTACAGCAGACTTCTCCTCAGCAACTCCATCTACATGGACAACCTCCCATAACTTTTTAGCTTATTGACAGGTTGCCACTTTGCAGCAAACCACAACAGAAATATTTTTTCCTTAGTTTCTAAAACATTCATAACATATTACATCTGCTAGATGTGTTCTGCTCTACACAGGTCAGATTGAAGCCAGCTTCCCATTCCAAATCTAACTTTACTATTTCACTCTCCATACATGTTTTCTCTAGTTTGGAAAGAGTTGCAAGAAGGATGCTACACAAAGATGACTGTAAATCAGAAACTGGCAATAATGCAACTTCATCCAGCATTAAGAAACAGACTTAATCATCAGGGCAAGTTAAGCAATTTTTTTAAACCACCACAAAACAGGGTACTGGCAGAGAAGTGTTTTCATGGAATTAACCAGGTCCCTAGTGCCTGAAATAAAAACAGGAGAACTTCTTTGCCATGTTTCTTTCCTTGAATTCTGGCCCTGGCCTTTTGTTGCCTGCCTGACGGTGATGCTGGCTCTGAGGAGCTGGACTGCTTGACAAGATCCTCCTATGCAGACAGCTGTGCAAAAGCTCATGTAGCTTATAATGGGAGGTTAATGAGCTGGACTGCGGGGGGAGGAAGGGGGGAAATGGTAGAAGAATAAGCATTGCCTGCTCACTCTTCTGGAGTCTGTAGCCAGACATTGAATGGGAAACAAAACAACAGAGAGTTAGAGTTGGTTCACTCCAAAGAAGTGAGGCTGAATTTACATTTTGCTGTCTTGCTCCCCAGAAAGGAATGGCTGCAGTAGAGGGTAAAGGAGAAGGTGGGGATTATAAGTGTAAACATTAGCAAAGCATTTTGACCAGGAGAAACTTCTGATGACTTTAATACATTATTTCAAAACACAATCTCAGATTTGGTGAAGACTCATGACTATTAACAGCACAGAAAACTCAGCAGCTCATGCCCAAGGCAGAGAAGCAATGAGTGGGCCTGCAGCAGCTGCTGGTCTGCAACCTCCCAGTCCCAGTCAGGAAGCAGCACATTTTGTTTTGACTAGCTCTTGCTTCTTTTGCTGCTGGCCATTCCCTTCCTTGGCCCCTCAGAGGCCCTTTCCTAGTATTTTGGCTCCTCTGACTTTGTCCTCCTCTCCCACACAATTCTCTTGCAAATTGCTTGCTCTTTAAAGCTCCATCTTTCCCGCCCAGTTACTCATTCTGTCCACTCTTTCAAATACACATGGGAAACCTTTCGACCTCAACTAGCTCTAGCCATGCTGCTGGAGCTTCACATTCCTTTCCCTTGTGTCTGCCTTATTTATTAGGACAGCTCTTCAGGGTATCCCTGTTGACTCAATTCCATTGTTTAACACTATTCTAAAGCCACTTGCCATGACTTAGGGTCTCCTAGGAAGTCGCCACTGCTGCTCCATAATGCCCTAAGTTTCACGTATTCTGAGCCATATCTACAAGCCTTAGACAGATGTCTCTGCTACCTCAGAGGCTATATAATGTCCATGTCCTGGCAATTGAATCAAGTCTCACAGATTCCACACAGGGCTTAGATCTGCTCAACAGTCAGAAGCTTACCCAGAAATATCTTGCTGGCCTTCTTTCACATTTGGAAAATGTACTTCCTAGATAAAACACAGTAGTCATAGTATCCTTTCCACTGTGGAACTCCACTACCACTTGAAAAAAATAAATACATAGGCAGGACAAAGATGTGGAGTCACACGAGCATAGGATAATCAAAAGTATATCCTCTGCAATTACCAACTGCAGCAAGGCTGCCATTCCCCTCTGCAAAGAGAGCAAAGTGAACAACTGAAAGAGCAAAACATGCCTCACACTGTGGAAATAGTAGGTTCAGGACAAGCCATCTAGTGCACTATTGTTACTAAGGAAGAACAAAAGAAACTGAGATATCAAGTTTCCATAGGGCCTTCTCTTGCTACTAGAATCCACAAAAACATGTTTACCCCTGCAGTTTGCTAAAGACAGGAATTATATCAGGAGATACCAACTGTTTCCAAGACTCCACAGGAACAGCCTTCCTCTTCCTCCTCTAATCCCCATAGAGAAGTCACTGCTGACCGAGCTTCCCATCCTCCCAAAAGAAGGCCTAACTTCAGAGTGCAGTCTAACAGCAACAGTTCAGCCAGAGATTTTTTTGCCAATAACATTATCTATGACTAAAACAAAGGCTAGAGAGATAGTCTCAGGCTTTTTGGTTCTGGTAAGCTCCCATGTATTCCAAGTTTATTTCATAATCTTCTCCAAGACAGCACTGACACTCTCTTTTACAAAATATCCCCAAACAATTTGTTATACTTTTTAAGTATAGAAACCAAGTCACAAGTGATAGCAGAGTAGCATAAACAAATTTTTCATTATTTTGCATAGTATGAATAAGCTCAGTTCCTAAAGAGTCATGGTAATACTGATCTTTCTTTTCAGCTTGTTCCTTGGAGAAAAAAAAAAGGTTTTGCTGTAAAGTACATACTCTACAATTCAATGGACACAACCTGAAGTTATGAAGGGACACAAACAATGCGAGAAAAATTGCACAGCACATAACTCTTTTGATATTGCAATAAAAATCAATCTCCTGGTTTTATGTAGGTGCATATTTACAGGCATTTCTAACACAAGGAAATTTTGCCACTAAAATTCATCTCCCATTTTTCCTTTCTACTCTTTCTGTTCTTATATTAAGGTTTAATTCCCTTTTTAAGAGAACTTTAATTCAACAGAGAAAGGTTTTATCTCAATGTTATTACTGAAAAGGACCCAACAAGAGGGGACAAAATTATTCTACAGGTTGGTTTTCTTTTCTACTTCATGAGATGAAGCCATAGTTTGTCACGCTAGCTCGGCCAAATGTGTGACTGCCTTCCTCTGAGGCATCTTCTGCTCTCTAGGTAACCAGAGAAAGCCCATCACTCACAAGAACATTTCTCTGCAGAGAACCTTCTTGACTCCTACTGAAGCCTGAAGGACAATTATTCATGTCCTCAATAGAAGTCTTCAAAAGCGGATTAATTTTAAGGTACATACATAGAGTCAGAGAACAACTTGAGTTGGAAGGATCACTGAGCCCAACTCCTGCTCCTCACACGACTACCTTAGACTAAATCATATGGCCTAAGGGATCATCCAGATGCTCCTCGAATTCTGACAGGATTTGTGCTGGGCTCACTTCCCTGGGGAGCCTGTTTCCAGTGAATGATCACCCTCTCTGTGAGGAATCTTTTCCTAACATTCCACCTAAACTTCTCCTGATGCAGCTTTATTCTACTTCCTTGTATCCTATCAGCGTTCCAGAAAGAGGTGATTAGCACATCCCTATCCATCCACCGCCCTCAAGCTCAACAGTGTCACAGCTGGGTTTAGTAGAACATAAATGAAACAAGAGGACTTCAATCTGTTGCTTCTTTAAGCTCACATTTCAGTGAGCACATAAAATGGCTAACACCCAGCCACCTTCATTTCATACCCTACTAAACCATCCCACAGGGAGATTTTTCATTCTGCCTGAAAGCAGGCCTTACTGCTTTTTCTAGCCTACCCAGAAGTGCTTCCTTCAGAAGGGAGAAAAATGCAGTCTGTAATCAGCTTGGGCATATGCAGCCCTATTGTACCTCCTGTTCCCACACTGAGATGTCACATCCCTCAAATAAGTGCAAAATCTGTTGTGCTCTTAAAGAAGGCTCCAGAGGTAACCATCAACTCAGCTGATGACCAGCTTCAGAACAGTGCAGTGATTTGGAGAGTTGCAGCATGCCCTCCTCTGGAGTTACTTACTGGTTACAACAATTTTTACTGGGAGCTTAGTTTTACATAAAAATTATTAGCTAATCACAAAGAACAAAAGAGAGGTCTGGGATCACTTCGTTAATAACAGTGCATGAACAAGGCAACAAAATCATGTAGTAATTGCAGTGCTTCTGTGATGCCCTTCAGAAGAACAAAACCGAGCATCTCAAGTCCTTTGAAAACTGATTATTACTTGAATGTAGTAAATAGCCCCCATTACTTGGCCAAAATGGAACTCACTACACTCTTTATATAAACTGTCACCAGCACTCCATTTTGACATTAGAAAAAGGACCATCCTGACCTAGCACTCTCTCCTTCTAGGCATGCATTGGTAGCAGGAATCAGCCTGTCTCACCAGTCTTAGAAAATGAAGAAGCCATTAATAAATTCTCTTCCTTTAAATCCAGGAAACAAGTATATTACACATAAAAACACTTACTTGTGAAAGAACTGAAGGACCACTACAGCACTAAACTATTAGAGAATTAAAGTGGGCAACCTCATCTGGACAAGTTAAGTACTTGTGGTTTATTTTCATGAAGATAATGGCAATTGTACAGGAGTACTATTCCCTATAACAGCATTACAAACACTAGACTAGAATACAACTTAGTTATATTTTTTAGAAGTTTTCCAAACAATACCCATCTCTGCATCTGAAATTCAGATAAAGGTTTCTGAAATCTGAGATACTTTTCACATGATCAGCCCTCCCATGACACACACTCAGTTTCATTGTTCACAGCTCAGAACAACAGGCAAAAAAAAAAAAAAAGAAAGGCTCTTGTCTGAGACTCTACATGCTGCCTTGAAATCTTCATTCCCAGTTTTCTCCTTCATGCTAACAGCTATGAACTGAACCATCATGAACACTTCCAGCTAGAAAACTGAATATTTACAACAAGGCTAAAAGTTGTACAACCAAAAAGCGTCAGAACAGGACACACAGATGACAAATGAACCACGTAGCATGATGGAAGTTCAAATCCTTGAGACAAGGACCACCACTTAATTGTGGGGGAAGGTGGCAGAGAGTACTAAGCTCTGGAAATGCCTAAGTCTCCCTAGGGAAGCAGTATGGCTCCTACTTAAGCTCTCTTTCCTGGGAAGCTCTTAATTTATGTTTACACTGAAATAAACGGAACAAAACAGTTTATTTGTGGGGGAGCATCTGAGAGGGTGGTTAGTGCAGCCCTGGGGAGGCAGCAGGAAGTGGGATAACCTCAGAGCCAGGCCCAGCAGAAAGTACATACGGAACATTAGTTTCCATATACACAACTCTAGAAACACAACTGAGGAAGGAAAAGGGAGAAGCCAAAAAAAGAGGCAGCTAAAGTGGTTTTGATGTGTCTTTTTTTCAACTAGCCAATAAAGTGTCATTTCACTGAGACTATTATCTAACTCATAAATCTCCATGCAGGACCAGGTCCTCCAACTTCGAACACAGGCATCAGAGTCAGTCAGGAGAAACTATGGTGGGAGAGCCAGATAATTTTGGGAGGTAACTAAACAACCTATCAGTCATGGCTCCTTGATGCCTGACTGTCTTATCACCCCCAAATATCCAAAGATACATTTATGCTGGAGTATTGAAAGCTGCAGAATTGTCAATATCTAAGTTCGACCCAAAGATAACATAAACGGATTTGACCTGTCACAGCTAATTCAAATATAAGTTCCAATACTTAAAACATAGGATAGCCTAAGCTGAGCTTGGCCTTTGGCTCAAACACAGACTGAGACTTCATCTTCGTGCACACATCCACATGAGTGAAGGACGGCGAGAAGCAGGAGGAGGCCTCTTTAGGGAAGGTTGGGAAGCAGCCACTGGAAAGTGGGAGAAGGCACACTGTGGTACCAGCCGCTGCTTTCTGGAGCCGGTCCCAGCATGTGCTGGCAGCGAGCTCCACGATCCCCTTGCCAGCACATAGCTGTGCCTGCGGCTCCTGCCAGGAGCGGCCTCGGCCGCCCCCGCGCGGCACGCACCAAAACTGCACTGCTAGATGGCTCCAGAGAAAACAAAAAATGCTCTAAAAACGTGTCTAATCACCCACAGCTACTCTGCAAGACCACTAGTAAATCACCAACTTTCCGGCGCTTCCCCAAGTTCCTTTTCCAGCCCCTTTTCATCATCCTATTTTCATTTTTTTGCATGAGACTCTCATCAGCAGCACAGGGTGAACTAAGATTCGATGCCCCCTGGCCTCACCGATGTTTATGCTGAGGAAAAAAACCAACAAACGAAAACCACCAAAACAGTGCCCAGCTCCTTAGCACTAGGGAATGCACACATCTCTGTAGCATGACAAAGCTGGAAGTTCCAAACAGCACTCAATAGGCATTCCAAACAGTAATCAACAAAGATGTCCCCAGTGTCTTACCAAAACAGCTCCCACGATGTGAAAGAAAACTTTTACAAGCTGAGGCAATGGACAGCTCAGCAGAAACTAAAGTCTTGATAATCAGGTCCTCCACGCTGGCCATCAGTGCTGCAAGAAGGGGAGGTGAGAGGAGAAAAAAGGAAAAAAAGTAGATTGTGAGGTAACACATAATATCTGGAATGGCGTGAGAATATGCATATGGAGATACACCTTTGTGAATCAAAGCACATGAGACCCTATGGATAGCAAAGCAATGATGCTTGAAAATCCATGCAAGCCTAAGCTTATAGAGACATGCATAAGTATCCTAGTGCAAAAATACTTACAAATGAGTATGCGAGAATGATAAACGTGAGTATATGTACAGTGCAGGTAAGCAGAAACATATGGCAAACACATCAGCACAAGTCAGCTGGAGTCTGACCACTGCCCACTCAGAGTATGAGGAAGGATTAAACAAGAGTTAAAGAGTGGGTTAGTGAGATAAGCCCTCAAACAACAAAGAATAAGCCCAGATATATAGCACCGAGATATAAAAATTTTTCTTGTGAACTTTTATGAGAGAACTGTTCTGTGACACTGCACCTTCCTCTAAAGCAGCTGTTCCCACACCAAAATTCCTCTTTTCAAATTTGCACGACTGCTGACCTACAGATAACCCACAGTAAGAAAGCACTCTCCAGCTCCTGCACGAGCCTGTGAACAGAGCTCAGGAGCAGGAGTCTAAGCAGACAGAAGAAGCAAAGGGCAAGAAAAGATGCACATTAGACATAGACCTGGATTCTACACTGGACTTAGGATGAGTCATGCGATAGAAAGAGCACCACGCTAGTTTTGTTTTCAAGGACAAGCAATAGAGAAGTGAGAGAAGGGAGAAATGAACAAATACTGGAGTCACAGTCTCAGAAGTTAGTAAGGATGAAAGGACAGCCTTCCCCACCCTTCAAAGGGAGCACAAGCAAACCCACACAGACATCTGGCAATCCCTCCTTCAAAGAGTATCTTCTAGAAATCACTTGACTAGAGAGTTTACTTTAGGCCTACAATTACTATTTCTCAGGCTCAGATGATGACATGCAGGGACCTGAACAATTACAGAAAGAGCATGCAAGCAAACTCAGATGTGAACTTCTGTACCAGAAAACAACTGAGTAAAACTAACACAGCATGGAAACATCCCAGCACACATAAACAATCCAGAGCACAAAAACCCTGCCAGCCCAGACAAGGCCAGCACTTTTCAGCCAGCATTCTGCCTCCCTATGACCAGAACCAGATGCATCAGAGAAAGGTGCAAGAAGTCTTGTAATGGATAGTTAAAGAAATCTGCTTGCAATGCTCAGTAGTTTATTTATTGAAGTGTATATTTTATATTTGAGATTGGGGTGAGGCATAGAGATGTATCAATATTAATAACTACACATTCACAGCTTGCTGTACACATACGGTGCAAGGGATTGGACAACCATGCACGCACATGATGGAAAAAAAGTCTACTTCCATCTGAAAGCCAGATTCAAACCCCTTTCTCCAACATTCGAGTGCTCCTTGGCAACATTTGCAATATGGGCCATAGCTGCTGTCAGTAATTTTACTGATGTTTCAGTATCACAGGTAAATTATCCTTAAAGGATATACTCAGATTCTGCTCTACAGATGCAGTTACTCCCAGCAGACCTGGCAAAGGTGTGGAAGAGGGAGCTATTTTGTATGAAATACAGACTAAATGAAAACACTCAGCAAAAACCTGAGCCATGGAAAGATGACACCACATCCAAGAGTCATTCAAACTGGCACAGTTGTCCAGAGGTTGGTCACTCATCAGACTGAACAGGCCATGGGAGCAGTAGAGGGAGGGAAGCTTTTAAAAGGAATGGAATGACCTTAAGAAATGGGAAATGTAGGTAAAATATTAAGAAACACAACCTGAGAAAGTCTCAGAATACTAGTTGCAAAAAGGAAGGGGTTAGGCCTTATCTCTGGGGATAGGGAATAAATGCACAGCTCTAATGAGTAAGGAACAATGCTTCCCTCCACCCTGCTCTGGTGCTAAATGGGACTCACTGGGGCTCTTCCCTGACTTCTTAGAATTCACACTAGTGAGATGATCAAGATCCAACAAAGAAATAAAAGAACAAGATTTTTACTGACCTGCAGTGTCTCTCCCCTCTTGTTTTAAGTACCTCAGCATTGCACTCATGCTCCACTTGTTTCCATAATCCTCTACTTCAGGATCATCACAGCTAAAAATAAATAAAAGAAGGAGATTGACACCACCGACCTACCTCTATGGATGAGCATTAGATCAACTCAGGTAAATTGACCCAACGTCTAAAGAACAAGTTCCATTTTCCAGCCAAGTACCTGACATAATCTCCACTCTTCTTGTTGACACTATAGTTGGTCAGATGCATGAACTGGTTTTTAATATTCTTGGATGCCTGGTCATACCTCACTGTTGCAAATCTGTAAAGAGGAATAAAAATTCACAGTATTTCTTGAACAAGTGCCATTCTTGCTAGATACAGCAAGCATGTCACTACAAATCACAGACTACCACACAGACCACTCAATAGCAACATCTAGGGAGAGAATGCATGTAATGAGACCTCATCAAACACAAAATACAGTTTATCCTCAACGGACACATTGAACAAAAAATAATGTAATAGAATAGTTGCAGTTGGAAAGGACCTACAACAGTAATCGAGCCCAATTGCAATCATTTTCTTATACTACGTGTAATCTTGATTCAATACATATTTTAGGCTGAGACTTTGGAGAAAAATAAATATTTAAAAATTGAGGGCAGAATCCAGAGTATCTGGTAGGTAGAATGACCAGTATGAGCCACTGATAACCACCATAGCTTGTCACAGTAAGCATGTTCCAGTTCAAAAAATCCTCAAACAACAACAAAAAATCAACAAGAGAAAAAACACCTTCACTCTGACAATCCTCCTGTACCACAAAAGCTTAAGATACCAATGTCTCAAAAGAGATAAGGGGAGTAAGGATAAGGAGAGAGTCAAACACATGCTATTCAAAGAAGTCCCAGCAAGAGGAAGAGTATATACCAAAGAGAGCAGGGTTAGTTGCATAAAAAGGGGAGTAGATATGGGAGAAGTCTCAATGCAGGAAAAAGGAATTCAGGAAAAATGGAAAAGTGAGAGGAAGTTGGATCATCTGGTTATGCAATGAAATAATGTTCAGAGAAGAATGCATCTCCAATTTTTTTCATTAATAGTCATCTCTCTTCATCCTTCCCATATTATTTCCCATAGTTCAGAAGAAGCTCAACTACGCAAAGACAGCTAACAAGTTACACACACAAAAAACAACAAAAAAAGAAAAAAAAAACAACAAAAAAAACAAACACAAAGCAAAAACCAAAACAAAACAAAACAAACCACCAACCCACAATCCTTCATTTGGAAAGAACTGCCAAAAAACCAAAAACCTTATTTCTTAATTAAAACGATGCCACTACTGCCCTCACTTGGTAGCCATTTTGAGAAATACCTGTTGCCATAAGAACTATACCAGCAAATCCATGAAAATGCTTAAACTTATCCTTAAACACACATGTGGAAGCAGGGGGAAAACAAGCCCCCCACGATATAACTTATTTTTAAGTAGCAAGGTTAAAAGAGTGAAAAATATTTTGCACTATATTTTTCTTAGCTTTAACTGTGTATGAAGTCAGAACAGCTGGCAACAAAAGCATTTGGAAGTTTGGATCCTCTTTCCACATACTTCCACAGCTTGAAGTATTTGAATTTCTTTTCAGTTTAACTGTAAGTTTCCTGGATTTAACACTTCTGTTTTGAAAACAGTGACAAAAGCCCTGTCATATATTTTGTTCCTATTTATGATTTCATTATCTCAGTCTTAACAATCATTTACTGGCAGCATACTAGAAGTATTTGTTGAAATATACTTTCAGCCAGATCCCAGAAGATACTGAGCACAATCAGAGAGCCATTTCAAGTCTCCCTTGGTACTTCCAAGCAGAGTGCAATTAGGTTCACCATGCTTTTCATCTTATGCTTATAATTTTTCATCCTCAAATATGAGAACAGGAACCCCTGGCAGACACAGACAATACTCTGAACAACAGTATTTCTGTACCTTCAAATGCTTGCACTAGCTTCCTTCTTACAGAGACCATCCTTAATTATTAGGTGGTCTGAGTTCCATGCTCAGAATTTTACATTTCCGTGGGGACTGTCTACTCAGAAGATATTTCACTGTGTTCCAGAGCTCCCAGTACCTAAGCTTTCTGTTTTACTAGGATGCTATCATCTTGAAAAACATATGGGCAACTTCAGCAATGCACCAAAAAACCTCCAAAACATAAAATTACTCATATCTACTATGAAAAAAGCCCAAACTTTAAACAACACAATCCAATGCTTAATACATTTATCCAGAACTGGCTTGACCAGCCTCACACTAAGTGCAAGCATGCAAATGGAAAATGCAAGCTATTTCTAGGGCTTCTATCAATAGCCTCTGGATGTCAGAACAGTAACAGATCAGAAGTACAATATTAGCAAACAGCCCATGCTCCTTACACTTTTGTGTTTTGTGCTTGCTTGAGATGGAAGAGTGTTACTACCTCTGAAATACTAGTCACAATTACCTTCAGTACTCTACAGTTCCACAGCTTTTCAGACTATACTTTACTGTATCCTTCTTCCCCTGTAGTAACTATGCTGCTCATCTACCACACTTGTCCTCACCAGAAAAGACAAGAGACTTGCAGGCTACACAATGTCTCACTTCAGCAGAAATTTACCATTATTTTAGAGAAACCAAGATCATAGGAAAAGGCCTCACAGTAATAGTGAAAAATGGAAAAACAATGCTTGTAAAATTTTCTAGGTATTAACCTGAAACCTAGAATACACTCTTGAGGAATCTTACAATCTTTTAGAAGATTACTTAATTTAAGGTCAATGTTATTTTCCAATTTCATTCTGGGCCACTACTAAGAATAGAATATATGTTACTTAAAAGATAAGGGCCAAGATCTTAAAAGCAATTCAAAAACTATATGCTAAGCAGGGACAGAAAATAAAGGGCAAGCCTTGTGTTTTCCTAGTAACAAAATTTACCACAAGCATATGCTGCAATATTCTGCATAAACTATTCTTCTAAACACTAAAGGCTTCATGCCCAGGTGTCTCACATTGCTATAATCCAGCCAAAGAGTGATGAAGGCACAAGTACGTGAGTCCAGATCACCATCTGCCAGGACAGGACTGTTTCTGAGCCAAAGCATTACTCGTGGATGCTGCTATGTGGGAGCCTGCAATCAGACAGGAATCCAAGAGTACTCCTAAACCAGAGGCTGGACTGTCCACACGTGGAGGACCACCTTCAGCCAAAAAGGACTATTTTATCAAGGGAAACTCATCTAAACACTATCTTCTGCTTACTAACACCATATCTTCTTACTCTGCTTCAAGCAACTGTTACTTTCCCCACTGTGATCTCTTCCTGTCCTGTCCAAGTTCTGGACTACTCCATAGACCTTGAAATGCAGAGACCCAACACACTTAACAGGCATTGCTGTTAAAAAGCGTGTGGGCTGAGTGGTTCAACAACTAGATTCACACTGCTTTTAATTCTTACATAGAATTTTCCTGTAGGACTTGTCAAGTGGAAAAAAATAAAACAACCTAGGAAAAGGTAGGATTTTCCACTATTAGTCAGACAGGAAGGTTTTCTGCCACTTCAGTGCATTCTTCTGTCCCCACTTCATCTAAACCAGCAGTAGTTCTTATTGTTAACAATGTGAAATAATATGCAGGTAGCCAAGAAAGGAATGGATGTCTGTTCTGTATCCACCATTAGAAGAATATCACTCTGTTGTGGCCTGAAAAAAGCAGATTTGCTTTCTCTATAACACAGTTTTCAAAGCTGAAAGACTAAACTTTCTTTCACCTGCCAATGTACTTGGAGAGAGTGCAGGAGTAGAAGATGCAAGAGTAATGGTCCTCTCTGACATCATTAACCTAGGTCATCTCTGAGATATGTATTACACAGTAGGTAACACAGTTCACAGTAGCAAGAATACAGGAAGCTCCTTCCCATGTCCTGATGTTATGTACTGCTTGTATTCACTGTTGAAAATGAACTGCAAGCAATACTAAATATATTCACTTTCATTAACTTGTTTTTCTGGCCTTACTGCAGTCTCATTCTCTCAATGATTCTCCCCTTCTAATAAATCTTTTAAAGTCTGAGGAAAGAGCTAAGTTAAGAAAATTAAGGACACATTCTAATACGGTATACAAAAGAATAGATTCTGAAGCCTCTAAGTAGAAATATTATAGGAGAGCTTCTACCCCAAACTTACAGCTGGGAACAGGAAAGCTTAAACTGAGGTTGACTGTGCATTGTTCAGTTTCCATGCTAAGTGCTGCCCGTAATAAAGCCTCCCAGGCAGAAGTAGCTGCCATCATATTGGGAACAGCCCTGGCAGCCTCCCTCCCTTTTCACTGCAGCTTCTCTTTCCCCAGCAGGACAGAGGAGATGCCCTTCATTTCTGAATTCAAAGCTTAGAATAGAGAAGTGATACTCATACATTCCACTGTTCTGATACATCTGCTCATGTCTCAGCTGGTCACAGCTAAGTCACAGGGCCGTATTCCAGCTAGGATGAAGGCAACAACCCATTCTCTATACCAGCAACTATACTGTGCTACACAGCTCACCCTCCTCAACAGCATATTTCCCTTCCCTCTGACTGTACTTTGTCTTGGATCAGAGAGGAAGAAAGAGCAATCAAAAGCAAGAAAAATAGTGACAGTAGCAGCAACAGGTAGCCTGGGCAGCACAAAAAGAAAATTAAGGGAAAAATCCCCAGTAATTCCTTCAGACTCCAGAACTCCAGACTAAGAGTATAACATCTAGACACACCCCAGCTTTCTGCCTCCCTGTCACGCTTCAGTTTCGTCTCTGGTATTCAGATACTGATAGATTCCAGTCTTCCTTCCCTTTCTTGTAAGAATTCATTAAAAGCCTAATAACCACACTTAAGCTCCACTTGCAATAGGTCACCTTCTTCTCAAAAGCCATGCAAGTTTTTTCCCTGCTCACCTGTCTACAAAATATGTCAGAGCTCAAACTGAAAAATCCCCAAATCCACCACACCAAACTTTGGCCCTTTACCCACATCCCTACACCACTTCAATTCAAACAACTACCCTTTTACTGTCACAGTTCCAGGCAGGACAGTACCCAAGGGATTGTACAATGCTCTTTGCCTTATCTCCAGAACTGCTCCAGGAACTGAATTAACCACAAGGTAAAGTTTGCAAGTCATTTCAGAAACATGTAAACGGGATCATAAATATTTACTGAAAATGCTACGTGGTTTTGCATGAAACTTGACAGCTCTGGAATGCTTATTTGAGGCATCTAGTCAGAGCCTGGGAAAGGAAGAGAAGAAAGGA